AAAAAAAAAAAACCCAAAATCCACAAACAATGACAAGTCTTGAGTAAATAACCTCTGGCCAAATACAGTTCTTCCAAAGATTTAGAGTTTACTCACACTCAATTTTTATATACAAATGTATCTTAAGGAAAAAAAAAAAAAAGGACAGAGTTACCCATGAAAGTTGGCAAAGGAATTTTATTATGTGGCTTAGGTAGGTCTTTGCATTCTACTAACAGAAAAACATTTTTCCACACCTTATTCAACCTAACAAATTGTGTACTTTTGATTTTATCTGCATGGCTGCAGCATTAACTATTAAAGAAAACCGTCTTCTCATTTGTACTTTGGTGCAATGATATAGTAGATACTTCTTCCTCCAGAAAATAAAAACATTCTCAATCTATACCCAAAATGGAACAAAGACATTATTATTAATACCAAGTTTCTTGTACCACTTGGTAAAAATCAGAATAAAAACCAGAATAGTATGCTGCTTAACATACAAAGAGAATGAGACATCTGCCACAGTTTCAGGTAAACCTCACTGTAGGAATGATTTAGCATCTGGGTCTGTTTTACTGCAGTTTTCACATATGATAGGTGGAACTGTACCACAATGAAGTCTCATTTGTATAAGACAGTCAAAGATGGGATTCTAGCACAGGAAATGTCTCCTGGGGCTCAATAATATATAAACAGATAGAAAAAAGAAATTGTCTTAGGAAAAATTTCACAACTGTTTGACTAAACATCTGAAACATTTTTATCACAGCTTTCATATATTAAAAAACTTTCCTCCAGAGATGAAGCTTAGTTATGAAACAAAACCTAGTCGCTATCATCTGACCCATGTTCTGAGCCCCGGTCTGAGGCCTCATTGTTGGATCCCTCTGGCTCCGACTCATTTCCTGAGCCCCTGACGGAGCCCTCATTATCAGATCCTCTCTCGGAATCTCGATCTGATTCAGCGCTTGGAGAAGCTGGGTGAGAGTCGTTCTCAGATCCTCCTGAGCGGCTTCTTCCTGACTGCACAGACTCATTATCAGACTGTTCCGAACCCGAGGGTCTTCTCTTCCTGGATGGCTGGTCACTGTCTGAATCTTCATCCGACTGATGTCTGCGGGGCCTCCGCGGACTGCCGGTCTCGCTGCCAGACTTGTTCTGGTTCTCATCGGAATCACTCTCTGATGAAGCATGTTTCTTCCGCCGTTCACCCTCGTCTGAGTCGCTGTTGCTGTTCCTGGGATGTCTAGCAAGGACAAGCACAGGTTAGACAGGATTTTGGCCAACTGGGTCCCTGACAAGCTGAGTGTGTGCTTTTAAAAAATAAGGACCCTTAATGCTCTATTTCTTGACCTAGCTGGTGTTTACACAAGTGTTCATTTTGTAATATTTGTTTTTTGTGTACTTCTCTGTAAGTGTGAAATATTTCATAATGAAAAATGTAAACAAGGTACAACAATTGGTCTCTATTCCTCTGGAACAAGAGAGAAAAAAAGAATCAGGATTAAAATGAGGAAATAGAATGTGTGGCTAATTGCTTCTATGAACAACTCTGCCTCTGCCATGAAACCAGAAGAAATGGAGGGTGCTCTGTTAACATTACTGAACATTTTGAGCAAAGATTCTGTACAAGAATTTTGATCTAAAGGGGAAAAATGCCCAACAGAATTGCAAATTCTCATGGACTCCACATTATCTTGAGATATGGAGACTGGATGAACCCCTGAAATCACTGCTCTAACTGCTGAACCTCAAACCAAAAATAGTCCTTGAAGTATTCTTAAAACCAAACAATAGTTTAGCTTAACTAGTAAAGAACGACTGCCTTGGGAATTATGGTCCTTTAAAATCTGTCTATATGGGATCAATTTGACAACAACAGCTTGAAAGATTAGACAGAAGTTTGGGGGTAGTGAGTTGTCAATAGGGGAGGAACAACTTAGAGGAGGAAGGTGAGAATGGCTGCAAAACTCAAAGAATGGAATCAATGTCACTGCACTATACACGCAGAAACTGGTGAATTAGTGTACCTTCTGCTGCATATGTTTCCAAAAACAACAATAACAACAACAACAACAACAACAACAAAAAAAATATATATATATATAAAAATTAAAAAGGGGGAAAAAAACCAACACACTTTAGCAATAAGACAGTATTAAAATGATGGATAACTTTCACTGATTTCTATCAGGCACCTTTTATCAGAATGGAGCATTTCCCAATCTCATTTATAAATTATGAAGAGTAAGAGATACATTTATTTTCACAAAAAAGCTAAGAGTAACAAAGGTGAAGCACAGCATTTCACTTGGCTGTAGACTCTGAATAATTAGCCCTTTCCCAGCCTGGAAGAGGAGGCTGCTTCCCTTGGCTATTACCATCCCTGTTAATACATACTTTCGAAATTGTGAAGTCACTTTGTATCTATCCTTGGATCTGCTACTGTTCTGGGTCCCTCCACCATCCTAGACTTATCAGATAGGAATCTGGGACTACAAAGGTAGTGCAGCCAAATTATGTATTTCATTTAGGAGAATGTCATGCAGGAAATTTCAGCTAATAACCATGAAGAAATGAGATTTCAAATAGGTTTTCTTCTTTAAGGGGTAAGCACGTAGTAGGACAAAAATGACAGGCTTAGAATGAGACACCTCCGAAGGTTTCGTCCAGCTGTAAGATTCCATGGAGCTGGAGAGAGGACATTTTGGGACAGTAACTATCCCCAGCTATCTATTTTCTCCACCAGTTTCTAAAAATCTATTTTAAGTATTTTTACCCCTACCAGAAAAGCTGGTTAACAATCACATTTGATTTACCCATATCATCAGAAGAAAGTAATTTACCAAGGGAAAAATTCCTACCCTTCATCAGCAATTTTAAGTTTATCCTCATCTGAAGAATCATCACTTGATGATATTATGGCTTTGGATTTTATTTTTCCCTTCATTGAAGGAGGCAGACGTTCTGGCTTGGGCTAAAGAATGTCAAACATAATAGATTATTCAAGACTTATGCATTAGAACATCTTTTTTAAATTGGGTTAGCATTACAGTGATAGAATCAAACAGCAACCAATTAACTTTGAAAACAAGCATTGGTATATAAGGAAGCTGCTAGAGAAAAAAAATGTATTCTTTTATGTCTACAGGGGAAGAGAAAAATGGAGTACTATGAACTTACAGCCTTTTTCTTCTCTGCTTTTGGTGGACGGCGCTTTTTCGGTTTTGGGCCATTTTCTGTTTCCTCATCATCAGATCCTTCTTCTCCTTTTGTAGGTCTTAAATAGTGAACACCAAAAGAGTTTGTCAAGATTCACTCATGCCTATAAAGTCTAAGACTACTGCACCATCAAGGAACTCTGGTAGCGTAATGTAAGGCACCTGACTGTTAACCAGAAGGCTAGTGGTTCAAACCCACCAGCCACTCCTCAGAAATCTAAGAAGGGGTCGCTGTGAGTCAGGTCTGACTCAATGGCACATAACAACAAGAACAACACTTCACCATCAAAACATTACTCTTTCTGAATACCCTAATCGGTGTGTCGCACTGTCTAAGGGCAAAGGCCAAAGCTTATTCTTGTTGCACATGATTGCACATGGTCCAAAGACCATGAACCATGAATCTTGTTGACTACTTTAGTCACTTTTATTAATCTAAGCTTGCATCTTACACATAGGTGGAGTGACAGAGGATGTTGGAAAAAGACCCAGGTCCCAGGCCTCAACATCTTTCTTCTCCTCTTTCTTCCTTCCTAACTACTTATTCCAGGCCTACAACTAATGTCCTCGTCACAGCTTCAATTTCACAGGCCTGTATTGGAATGAGTTCACCAACCTCTTTCCCAGTACAGTCAGCTGAGAGCTAGAAGTGTGTTCAACAGGACAGCCTAGAGGGCACCTCCAGGTGATATGGGCAAGGAACCCCTTCCTTGATCTTAACAGTAGATGGCACTGGGTGATCTAAAAGGTGCTCATTCATATACGTTCACATTTTATACACACAGCAAAACCATGAGGTGGGGACCATAATCTCCATTTTATGGAAAAAGAAACTAAGCTTGGTGATTTTTTTCTAAGACTGCACATGCAATTAATGTGGACACAAATACAGGTTCTCTCCTAAATCCCACACATTCTCCAGTTAAGTATTAATTATACTTTAAAGACTCAAGAAAGGCAATTATGACCAGTAGCTCTCAGAAGGAAAGCAGTGGAGATTCCAAGTACTCAGGGGTTTTATAATAAGGTTTATCTTAAGATTGCAGCGGAGGGCACACAAGATTTTGATGTCTGGGAAAATCAAGTGAGTACTAAGTGTTCTCAAATGTTTAAACATAGACTCAGAAGGCAAAAGATCTTTTGCCTCTTAAAAGATTATTTAAAACACATTAATGATAGTAATACCTTCTCCTCTTTTTCTTCTTTCTCTCACCACTCTCCTCGTCTTCGCCTTCTTGTTCACTACCACTGCCCTTCCTCCTCTTCTTCTTTTTGGACATAGGCAGGTCATCATCAGTGTCATCATTGACAAATTCATCAAATTCTCCTCCCTTCTTAGAACGCTAAAATCCAAACAAAACAACAATTATTTCCTGGCTGGTGGAGTGAATATTGCTTGAACGCTAAGGTGTACAGAAAATCACATCCTATGAGTCATTTTACAAACAAAGTATCTTTTACTAAGTTACATGAAAGAAGTGCTTGGCTAGGCACGTAAGACTTCTAATAGGGATTAATGTCTCAACTGATTAAAACTTTGCAAAAATCATCAACTATTTAAGACGTCACTATGGGTAAAATGTACTTAAGCTAGCACTGGAATGCATTTCTGAATACTAAATGCTGTTTAAATTATTTTCTCTGTTGGAAAACTGTCTCTTAGCAAAGGAGGAAGTCAATGCCAAGGACTTGAGTGAGTTTAACCAATTACCTTTACCTCTGAAAGCCAAAGGATCAGAAATGATGTCCCCAGGACTCATCTTACCCGTCCACCACCACCACCTCTTTTCTTCTCTTTTGTTGCTTCAGTCTCACCAGTAAACATGAGAATATTTTTTGTCTTTTCTACATACTGGGCCCGTTGTTCCAAAAGTTTCTTCTGCTCTTCCTTTTCTCGGAGACGTTTCTCTTCCTATGAGGATAAAAAAGGTAGGAAAAAAACTCCATCAGAATGTCTTAGCAGAAAGATTCTTTGTTAACATACAAAGTGTATGTATGCACACAATTCTTTACTTCTAGCATAACTAGAAAATACAACAGATACCTGTTCTTTAAGAAGTTTCTGCCTCAAAAGCTCTTTTTCTTGCTCTTGTTTGGCCCGCAGTTCCCGTTCTTCTTCATCTTGTTTGCGTGCCCGGGCCACGTGGTACTGGGCCTGACTCAGCAAGTCAGAGCATTGTCTAGGCCATTTCAGATTTAGAGAAACATGAATGCAGTTAGTACTGCATACTTTGTTCAAAAACTCAGAACATCTGTTTTCCCTAGAAGCTGGATTATTAGCAGATACCTATTAGCAAAGTTAACTTAGTTACCATAAACTGATACTAGCAACTATGTTAAGTTTCCACACTGTCCTTCCAAAAGCCAGCTAAAGTAGTAATAATAATTTCCAACCTAATCTTCAGACATGATTCAAAGAACCATGATTTTTATCTCAATTCTGGTGACCTATCTGAAATAGACTGGAAAGCATTTTCCCACACAACTTAAGTGTTTGTACTAAATCAATTTTGTTACAGTTTCTAAAAGAGAACCCCAAGAAAAACCTTGGTGTATGCTGGGAGTCCCCTAGAGAAGAGGTGTGAAAGACTGACCCCTGTTCACTATAGTCACTCTCCTAGCCTATGGCAATATCACTGTCCATATCTCACACAAAGTCACCTTCTACAAACAGTAACATTACCTGGCTTCTGTAGCAGCAAGGGCCAAATCAAATCTCATTTTATCTCCCACTTTACTCAAGTAACTGAAGTATCTAAATGGAATAAGAAAATAAAATGCTTAAGAAGTTTCTCATGCAATAAGGCCCATTAGATGTTTCAATCTGTTCTATAAAAGTACCAGCTAACTCACATGAATGTATTTAATGCACAAAGGACCAGCAACTCAATAGGAAAATTATATATGCAATTTACGGTTAGAATGTCATCGATAAACCATATTTAATAAAGACAAGCTTATTAAAACAAGCAAAGTTATATTTAACATTACCAGTAAACCAAAAAGAAAACAAAAAACAATCAAAAATTAACTAAGCAACAAATACTAAACACTTAATTTACTAAATACGTTAGCATGAGAGGCAGCCTAGTCCGTGAAAGCACTTACAATCTACCAGACAAAATACAAAATGTTTAATCAACAATTCAAGTAAGATTAAACAAACCTTACCACATACTTAATTACCTAATAAACATTATAAGGTTAAATATTTTTTATACTAAATGATTTATTTAATTAAATAAATGAGTAATTAAGAGGTAAGGCCTTAATCCTATGCTCAATGCAAGTTGTTTTTAGCTGCTGTCCAGTAGATTCTGACTCATGATGACCCCATGTGTACAGAGTAGAACTGCTCCACATGGTTTTCAAGGCTGTGAACTTTTGGAAGCAGATCACCAACACTTGGGAGGAGCCTCTGGGTGGGTTCAAACCCTCAACTGTTTTGGTGAGTAATTAACAACTTCGAAAAAACACTGGTGTTAACAAGTAAAACTAAGATAACCTAAGTGAAGTCTAAATATTTCAAATGTGTAAAATGGTGGATCATATTACTGTCAGTGAGAAATCTAGGGCAAGCTTGCAAAGTTACACACTTCTAGGGGTTAGGCTGTTGTTGTTGTTATGTGCTGTTGGACCTGACTCGTAATGACCCCTCCTTGGGTTTCTGAGGTGTTATCACTACGGAAGTAGGTTGCCCAACCTTCCTTCTGAGGAGTGGCTGGTGGGTTTGAACTGCCAGCCTCCTGGTTAGCAGTCAAGTGCCTTAGGCACTATGCTACCAGAGCAAATTTGGCAGGTTCTTGCAATAGTTTGGGGCCAACTGGTGGCAGCTGTTTGCTTTGCTAAAATATGGGTAGAATGATACTAATAAAATTACCTTTTGAGGGAAGTGATTTTCAGCAGTTTTTGAAACACAAGGTTTAAAGAAACACAGTATCTCAAAGGCTGTTTCTACACAATCTTTACCTATGTGCAAGCTCCAGTTCTTTCACAGCATTAAGTACTTCCTTCAAATTACTTTTTTCATCTTTCAGGACAGAGGTAGCTAATCTTTGCAGCACCAAGGCCACATTAAACATAAGAACTGTATCGCTGGGTGCCACATGTCTAGCCTGTAAACAGAAAACAGCAAATATTTTATATAATCTAATGACATGCAAAGGAGTTTAGTCAAATACAGTTTTAACAGATATGTGAACATGCATAAAAAAAGAATAAAAAAATATAGTGCTGCAGGGAATTGGTTTGAACAGTGAGTTCTTTTACCTTCAGCAAAGTCTGCTTGCATTCCTGTAACTTGCCGCACTTAAAGAGAGCCCGGGCCAAATAGAGTACAACTTCAGTGTTCTGGTGTTTATAGAATTTTCTGAGACAGTTTTCATACTATAAAAAAGGAATATGTTAATTAAAATACAACTGAGATTAAACAGTATTTTTATTTTGCAGCAAATTTGTAAGATATTTTAAAGCTCTATGAAAAGGTATTTTACCCTTTCAATGACTAGTTAATTTCAGAGACTAACTGGATAAGTAATTTTGACATTCATCAGAATACATTTTCACAACATAAATATCTGATTGTGTGAAAAACTGCATACTCAGAAACAGTTTCTGTGTTTGAAATTTAGGCTTCTTCAGAGTACTGATTTTCTAACAATACTGAAAGGGTAAACAGGTTGAAAGTCTTTTTCAAACTATCTTTAGCAACATTCTCTAACACTGGCTTATTGGCTACTTTTTAAGTCTTATACCTGCTCCTTTTGGGTTATACTCTACCACTCTTCTCTAGTATTTTGTAGAATCGATTGGCATTGAGCATGATCTGTCTTATGGTTTTGGTTAATTTCTTAGTAAAGCCAATACAGGAATGGCAGTGCTAATTTTGACATGAATATACCACTTTTTGACCATGGAATATGTCTTGTCATGGGCAAGAACTTTTTTAGGGAAGATGATTAGATACATTTTCCCTGAACATCCCTAGTGATTTACTTTGAATTCACAAAAGGCAACATTATCTTTCAAGGCCCACCTCAAAAACATAGCCACTGAGACCACCACAGGCAAGTTGAGTTCTGTGAGTCGCTATAATTAGTGTCTTCCCAATACTCTGAATACTGATGAGAATCAATATTCTACTTTCTTAGAAAATAGGTCAACCATTTCCTTCTGGACTATTCTTTCTTTTTCTACCTTTTGTAAGCAGGTTGTTCTTTCTGACTACCATAGTGTTTTCTACAGAGCCTAAGTGTCCTTTTACTGCATGCCATAAATACTGACTATGACTCTTTTATTTCAAGCTGACACACTCTACAAAGATGATAGGCAGATCAAAATTAAAATTCTCCAGTCATGAAACCCTATCTTCATGAAGCTTTCTTATTTTTAAAATTAGTTACTTGATCTTTCTGAAATTCAGTTATCTCATTTGAGAAATAAAGAGGGCAAAACAATCCTACAATTTACTGAGTAATTACCAGTATGCTAAGCTCATTAGTGCCAAGTACTTTGCATACTGATCCTCACAAAATTCTGTGAGATTAAAGTACAGTTAGCTCCATTTTACAGATAGGGAAACTGAGGCTTGAAGAGAATGTCCTCTGCCTAAGGCATGCTATTAGCAGTGGGGCCAAGAAACAAACCTCTGTCTGGATACCAAGTCAGGCCTTAACACTGTGTGACTATAAACCTCAGAATAGACACCATATAAGAAATAGCATGTAGCTAGTGCCATGCTCATGACAGGGTCAGAATGATTAAGAAAACAGCTGCTCAACAATGAACATTATGTGAAAAGATCCTGAAAGACATTACCATCTGAACAGCACTGATATATTGCTTTTGTTCCACATAGATGTGTGCTAAGTTCAACCACACATCACTGATGTCTGCTGTTGCTTCTCTTACTTGGGCAAATACATCACGAGCTTCACGGAAATACCCTTTGTGGGCCAACACAGCTCCTAAAGTTATAAAAAGGTTCACATTTAAGAATTTTCTAGTTGTAACCAGTCAGAAAAATAACTGAAAGTCCTGTTTTAAGACAACTGTTATTTATCATACTTGCAAAGAAATTCTAATATACAAACATTTCCCCAAAAGCACTAATTTCACAAATTGTTACAGGTATCCAAGCCTTATGATCACCTATGCCATTGGCAGCATACAGATTCTTTGCATCATTCCTGAGTACTTGTTTATAGATGGCCAAAGCACGATCTTGATGACGCTTTTCCTATAAAAAGAAACACTTTCAATAAAAAAATTCAAACAAGAATGCAGAGTATCAGTTTTGTTTAAAAAGATGAGGAAATTACTTTTTCTCGGTCTCGGGTGGGCTGATGCAAAGTCTGGAGCCACACGTTGCCAAGGGCCAGCATAGAATAAGTGTCACTCTGTGTGGATGGTTGTTTTAATATCCTCTCAAATTTCTTCTGACCTGGGCCCCATTCTTGTTTAGCCAAATGAAGATTACCAATCAAAGACCAAGCATCTGGATGATCCTAAAATACACATTGGGGATATAAAGAAGCAAAACCTGTGATCTGGATTGAGAGATATCAGTTCTCTTCCCATAATAACTGAAAAAACCAAACCCATCTGTCAAGTGGATTCTGGCTCATAGTGACGCTGTTAAGACAAAACAGAAGGGTTTCCAAGGCTGTCAATCTTTATGGAAGCAGACTGCCTCATCTTTCTCTGTGGAATAGCTGGATGGTTCAAACCACCAACCTCTCAGTTAGCAGGTAAGTGCTTTTACTATTATACCACCAGGACTCTTCTCTTTCCACACTTCTTGTTGTTGTTGTTGTTTTGTCGTCGAGTTGGCCCCGACTCATAGCGACCCCTCCACACTAGCTAACTGCAATTAATTGAAGAGATCTACAAGCTACAAGTTTTTTCAAACTGACAGGTGAGACCCATTAGTGAGTTGTAAAGTCAATTTAGTGTGCAGTTATGAGCATAAAAAATGCAACAGAATGGAGGAAAGTAAGACCATCAGTATGCTGCATGCACAAGGTAAGAGCAAATAATGATCCGTAAAATTTTCATTTCAGTTTTTTGTATAAACACATGTCCATGTGTACTAGGCTGTGATGTGAAATTTATTCCTACTCTGGGCCACAATCAAAAAGTTTTGATGAATTCTACAGTTCCAATCCAAATGCTACAACACTCTGCTTCTATTAACTTTTCTCATGTGAGACTAAACTAAATCCTAAGTCAGGTAAACTAGAGAGAGAAAAAGATATGTGAGCCACATGTGTGGAAGTGCAGGTGAAGAAACCGTGTGGGGAAAGGGAGAAGAAATGAGGAGCAGGATGGGAGTATAAGATTTATGTAAAAAATATGTTCCTTATTTGTTACATGATAGCACAACCTACTATATACCTCTTTAATATTTTTAACAAGTAGATGAAAAAACAAAACAGGAAAATGGAGAGATGCCAAGATTATTAGAAAAGTGATAGTCATTAAAAGGAAAAACTGATTTACTGGGAAGGAAAAGTAAACATAATTATTTTTCAAACCTAAGAGCTAGTATTACCAACCTGATTAATCTGAAGAGCTTCCTTAAACCAATCTGAAGCCTCATAAAAGTTTCCTTTGTCTCTGGCCATCGCTCCTAGGCGCAAATAGCCTGCAACATACATTTAAAAGTTTTCTATATTTAAAATAGCTATAAAGGATCATAATTTGTTTATTTACTTGCCTTACCAACATCAGTGACTTCATTTTACCAACTTAACCAAAAAAAAAAATCATTTCTGTGTTCAAATCCTATGCTAACTGTGTATCATCAATCTAAACTCCTGGCTTACTGCATGAAGATAATAAACATTTGTTCTTATGAGTATTCAGTTTGCTTTATTTTTAAAATTGTGATTTGGGTGAAAGTTTACAGAGCAAATTCACTTTCCATACAGTAGCTCCCATACACTTTGTCTCATGACACTGACTGCAATTTATCACAATGTAACAGTTCCCCTCTTCCCTGTGTCCTTCCCTCCCATGCACCCCTGCCCACCTCAACATACAAAGCCTTTCTATTCTCCCATGATTGTTCTCTCCAAGGAGTGTATCTACCTAATGTAAATGTTCAGTTCATATGCCTGTCTTCTGTTTGTCTGGAAACCACAGAAGTGGGTTAAATTCCAGACCTGAAGGGCAGCTAGGGGCCACAGTCTCAGTGGTTCCATCAGGCTCTATCAGACTAGCAAACCTGGTCCTAAAATAAAAAAACCAAACTCACTGCCATCAAGTCGGATCTGACTCATAGCGACACCTCCTTGGGTTTCCGAAGCGGTATCACTACACAAGTAGATTGCCCAATCTTCCTTCCGAACCTACCAGCCTTCTGGTTAGCTGTCAAATGCCTTATGTACTATGCCACCAGAACTCCCAAACCTGGTCCTAAAGGATCATAATTTTAAAGTCATACTTTTGAAACAATTATTTCTGGTTAATACATTTATACAATGATTAAAGAGTTCCACAGGTGAAAATATCAAACATCAATATAACAATCTCATAAGGTTTAGAGAGTAAGTGAAAAGGAAGATACTGAGAGGTACACAGGAGGTACAGACAATAAAGGCAAATACTATTGCATATATAATACTGAATTATCTAAAATGGCAAACACTTACCTATGGGTGGAAACATAGGCAGATAGTCAAGATGACTGGGCATGGCTAGGCAAATGGGAATATACCCATGACCATACACAGGTTTGGCAGACGATATTCTTACATTTCTTTTTGTGCCATATGCTATAAATACGTCATATGCAGAAGGAAATGTTAGCATAACTTAATAGCCATAGCTAAGCACCTTGAGGGAATGAGTCACTGGGCCTGGGGGCCAGAGACCATGGTCATAGAGGACATCAAATTCAACCGGCAAATCATGGTATACAAAAATATTGTTCTACATCTTACTTTGAAGAGTAGTGACTGGGCTCTTAAAAGCTTGCAAGCAGCCATCTAAGTGACTACTATTGGTCTCTCCTTGTCCAGAGCAAAGAGAAGTGAAGAAAATCAAAGACATATGGAAACAGTCCAATGGACTAATGGACCATGAAAACCTCAGCCTATATGAACCTGGGGAGCTCTGGTAGCATAGTGCCTAAGGCACTTGACTGCTAACCAAAAGGCTGGTGGTTCAAACCCAACAGCCACTCCTCAGAAGGAAGGTTGGACAATCTACTTCCATCAAGATACTGCCTCGGAAACCCAAGGAGGGGTTGCTCTGAGTCGGGCCCAACTCGATGGCATATAACAACAACAACATATGAACCTGAGACCAGAACTAGATGGTGCCTGGCTACCAAAGCCAACTACTCAGAAAGGGATCAAAACTGGAGATCTTGGATAGAGTGGCAGAAAAATGTGGAACAAAACTCAAAATCATAAAAAAGACCAGGCTTGATAGAGACTGGTGAAATCCCTGAGACAATGGCCCCAAGTCACCCTTTGGGCCTGGAATTGAACTCACTTCATGGCTTAACTCTCAGCCAAACAACAGACAGGCCTATGAACTGAACACTTACACCAGGGAGATGCACTCCTTAGAACAATCACGAGAGATCAGAAGAGCAGCATATGCATAGGGAGAAAGGCAGGAATGCATAGACAAGAAAGACAAAGGGAAAGTGTAACCACAGGAAGGAAGTAGGAGAGCTGTTTCACTGCAGGGAATGTAAACAGTGTCACAAAATAAAATGTGTATAAACTGTTGAATGTAAAATGAATCTGCTTTGTAAAATTTCACCCAAATCACAACAAAAAGTTAAAAATAAATAAATAAATAAATAATTCTAACCTTGATTTTTCCACTTTAATAATAATAAAATGCTGTACAAATGTAAGCTGGTATTTTCTCCAGAAATATGTCACCACAATAGGAAATATTAGGAGCCCTGGTGGCACAGTGGTTAAGCACTTGCCTGCTAACCAAAAGATCGATGGTTTGAACCCACAGCTGCTCCACAGGAGAAACATCAGGCAATCCGCTTCTGTGAAGAATTACAGCCTCGGAAACCCTATGAGGCAGTTCTACTCTGTCCTATAGGGTCAGAGTTTGAATTGACTTGATGGAAGTTGAGTTATATGAAATATAGTCTGGCTTTTAGTTATTTGTTTTAGCTTCTAGCTTAAACATAAGTGAAGTTGTATCTTTTTTTGTAGGCTACAAATCTGCCTTGAAGAAATAGGGACATCAGAACCTTCAGAAATTTTTCACTGCTGGTTCTAATAAAGATCTGTCAGGTTAAATTTTAGCTGCTATTGTAGGAATATTACTACATAATACAAAATTTAAAATTCTTACAGTCAACGTAATTAGGATGTTCCCGTAAGATGTTTTTATATAGTTTTTCTGCTTCATGGAATTCACACATCGCCTCATACAGCCTGGCTAAATTGTATGATGTTGTAACAGAAATAGCATTGTAATAATGTTCATCATGTTCAGCTTCTGCCTTTGCACGATCCAATGATGCCAAAAAATATTTCTATGAGAAAGAAAATTGTAGTTAAAACATGAAGTCTAAAAAAGGCACATTCAATTTGATAAAGTATAAAAGAAAGGAACATTTGTATTGTCCTACCTTTGCTTCCCCTAGGTTCCCAAGTCTAAAATGGAGAGCACCCACATTATTCAGAATCTCCGGGGGAACGTCGGCCTGTACCTTCTCCTGAAGGATTCTTGTTGCTGTTCCGTAGGCTGAAAGGGCACCCTGTATTTTCAGGGTGGACAGAATAAAGTATAAGAGAAAACGAAAGAGAAACACTACATCATGTTTAAAAAAACCCATTAGGTAGGAGATGACAGGTAATAACTAAATTATGAAGTACCTGTATATCAGTCTGTTCTAAGATTTGTGCCAATTCAATCCAAGCTTCCACATCGTCAGGGTACTGTTCTGTGACCTTCTTCAAGTGGCCCTGGGATAAAATAAATCATTAAGTTAAAGCATTCTAACTATAAGCTGTCAAAGCAAAAAGTAGTTGACAACATTATTTAATAAGTCAATGTTATTTAAAAACGGAACAAGCAGCTAACAAAGCTATTTCTATCATATCTCTACTAGCAACAAGAAGAAATGAGGAATGCATAAGAGTGAGTCTAGGTTACAGTTAGGAACAGCTAACAGAAAATACCTAAGAGTTTTAAAAAATGTACCTTAGCAATATCTCGTTTCTCTTGATCTTCTGAGGCAGCATAGAGAGAGCCAAGAATTTTCATAGTTTCGTAATTATTAGGATAAGCTTTCAGAACTTTCTCAAAGCACTGAGATGCATTTTCTTTATCACCTCGATAAATATACATTTGTCCCAAACCAAAAAATGGCAATACAAAAGAGGATGAGGCAAACTGTGTGGCTTGATAGTAGTACTGGAAAGCTTGGTCATAATCCTCCTAAAATATGAAGATAAAACAAGGCCAATAATATGAGCAAAAGTTTTTGAAAGATTTGAAGAATTATAAATTAAAAAGAATCAGATATTTAAAGAAGTTATAAAATTATCTTACCTGAACGTGGAATGATCTAGCCAGCTGATAGCAACTTTCTGCCTGCATAGCCTCCACTTCTGTATTATGGAATGCATGGAGAGCCAAGTGCTGGACTTTACTATAATCCTGAGCAATAAAGATCAGAAAATCAATTGAGTGAACTCACAAAACTCTAACAGTCTCAATCATAAAAGTTATCTTGTAAGGCTTCCTCAAATTTCACTTACTGAACAAATAAAAGCATTCTCTAGAATTACAAATTGTCGTTGTTGTTGTGTGCTGTCGAGTCGGACCCGACTCATAGTGACCCCTCCTTGGGTTTCCGAGGCAGTATCACTATGGAAGTAGACTGCCCCATCTTCCTTCCGAGGAGTGGCTGGTGGGTTTGAACCGCCAGCCTTCTGGTTAGCAGTCAAGTGCCTTGGCACTATGCTACCAGAGCTCCTAGAGTTACAAATAGTAATTCTTTATTACTCTTGCTGATAAAATTCAGGAGAAATGGGAACTAGTATTTGCTGACTACTGAACAGCTACCCATTGTATATATTATTTCATTTAATCCCCACAATTCTTTGAGGTATTAGCCCTATTTTCATGACAAGAAGAGTGAAACTAAAAGAGGTTAAATCCCTTAAGAGTAATGGTATCAGTTACAATATGGTACTTGTATTTGTTCTAATCTTCACCAAGAACTCTTCATGAAGAATCTTTATTACCATTTTACTGATAAGGAAACTGATGCTTAGAGAAGTGTATAGTGTGTGTGTCTAAGCTGGAAAAGATGGAATCTGTATTGTTTTTTTCCTGACTCCAAAGGAAATGCTCTATTATATCAGGTAACAAGTGCCAGTGCTTGGGTTTTCACTTTTTAATCAATTTACTTTTAATACACTTTATTTTTTTTAGAGAAGTTTTATGTATACGTAAAATTTCAACATTTGCGGTTTAATTCGGATCTATGTAAATCTGAGTCATGAGCTTCCCATGAGACCTTACTTCAATTTGGATTATCCAGTTTACTGCCCAAGAATCTCAAAGTCAGAGTTAATGCATTAGGGGTAGGAAAAAACTTTTTTTTTTTTTTAATTTTAATTTTTATTGTGATTTGGGTGAGAGTTTACAGAGCAAATTCATTTTCCATACAGCAGCTGATACACATTTTGTCTCATGACATTGACCGCTACTTCCCACGATGTAATAGCTCTCTTCACACTTCCTCCCTATAGTTACCTCTTTCTTCCCTGTGTCCTTCCCTCCCATGCACTCCTGCCCACCCCCCCAAAGCAGTCTTCCTGTACATACACTGTCCTTCTGTTCTCCCATGATTGATCTCTCCAAGGAATCTATCTACCCATATGCTGGTCTTTCATTTGGCTAGAAGCCACAGGAGTGAGTTCAGTTCCAGACCTGATGGGCAGCTAGGGGCCATAGTCTCAGGGGTTTCACCAGGCTCTATCAGACTTTTTTTTTTTCCTTAAATTTTTATAATTTTTGAGTTTTGTTCCACATCCAGATCTCCTACACAGATTCTGTTGTTGTTGTTGTTATGTGCTGTTGAGTCAGACCCGACTCATAGCAACCCCTCCTTGGGTTTCCAAGGCAGTGTCACTACGGAAGTAGATTGCCCAACCTTCCTTCCAGGGAGTGGCTGGTGGATTTGAACCGCCAGCTGTCTGGTTAGCAGTCAAGTGCCTTAGGCAGTATGCTATCAGAGCATAGAAATGTATGTTATTCATTTGATTAGAAAGATGGTCTGAAGTAGAGCTTTGTTAACGAAACCCAGTGTCATCAAATCAATTCCAACTCATAAGTGACCTTAAAGGACAGAGCAGAATTGCCCCAAAGGGTTTCCAAAGCTGCAAATCTTTACGGAAGCAGATTGTCTCATCTTTCTTCTGTGGAGTAACTGGTGGGTTCAAACTGCCCACTTTTTGGTTAGCAGCCAAATGCTTTTAACCTCTACACCACCTTTTGTTGTTGTTGCTTGCCACTGACTCGGACCCAAGTCACAGTGACCCTCCTTGGATTTCCGAGGCAGTATCACTACAGAAGTAGATTGCCTTCCTTTTGAGGAGTGGCTGGTGGGTCTGAACCACCAGCCTTCTGGTTAGCAGTCAAGTACCTTAGGCACTACGCTACCAGAGCTTGAGTGCCGCCTTTGTTAACTGCTGCTAGGTGCCGCCAGGTTGGCTCTGACTCACAGCGACCCTATGCACAACAGAACGAAACACTGCTCAGTCTTTCACCATCCTTACAACCCCTGCTCTGCTTGAGCCCATTGTACCAACCACTGTCAATCTATGTCACTGAGGGTTTTCCTCTTTTTCACTGCCCCTCTATTTTACCAAGCATGATATCCTTGTCCAGGGACTGGTCCCTTCTGAGAACATGACCAAAGTAGGTGAGACGAATTTTGGCTGTTCTTGTTCATAAGGAGCATTCTGGTTGCACTTCCTCCAGGACAGATTTATTTGTTCTTCTTGCAGTTTATGTTATTTTCAGTATTTGTCACCAACACAATTCAAAGGCATCAGTTCTTCCTGTCTTCCTTATTTACTGTCAAGTTTTTATGTGCTATGAGGCGAATGAAAATACCATGGCTTGGGTTAGGTGCACCTTAGTCTTCAAAGTAATCTCTTTACCCATTCATATTTTAAAGAGGTCTTTTGCAGAAGATTTTCCCACTGCAATAGAGTATCTGATTTCTTGACTGATACTGGGTGTTGATTGTGGATCCAAGTAAAATGAAATCTTTGACAACTTCAATCTTTTCTCCATTTATTGTTATGTGGTTTATTGGCCCAGTTGTGAGGATTTTCATTTTCTTTATGTTGAGGCATACTAAAGACTGTAACCTCTGGTCTTCATCAGTAAGTGCTTCAAGTGATCTTCACTTTCAGCAAGTAAGGTTGTGTTATCTGCATATCACAGGTTATTAATGAATCTTCCTCCAATCCTGATGGCATGTTCTTCTTCATATAGTCCAGCTTCTCGGATTATTTGCTTAGCATAAAGATTAAATAATTACGGTGAAAAGCTACAATCCTGATGTACACCCTTCCTGATTTAAAACCATGCACTATTCCCTTGTTCTGTTCAAATGACAGCCTCTTAGCCTATGTACAGGTCCCTCCAGAACACAGTTGTTCTAGAATTCCCATTCTTCGGAATGTTATCCATAATTTGTTATGATCCACACTGTCAAATGCCTTTGAACGGTCAATAAAACACAGGTATTCTTTTCTTTCAGCCAAGACCCATTCGATATCAGCAATGATATATATCCCTTCTCCCACCTCCTCTTCTGAATCCAGCTAGAATTTCAGGACATTCCCTGTCAATATACTGCTATAACCATTTTTTAATTATCTTCAGCAAAATTTTATTTGTGTGTGATATTAATGATGTTGTTTGATAATTTCCACATTCTGTTGGACTGGGCACAAATAGGGATCTCTTCAGTCAGTCTTGCCAGATAGCTACCTCCCAGATTTCTTGGCATAAATGAGTAAGTGCCTCCAGCACTGCATCCGTTTGTTGAAACATCTCAATAGGTGTTCCGCCAATTCCTGAAGCCTTGTTTTTTGCCAATTCCCTCAGTGCAACTTGGACTTCTTCCTTCAGTACCATTGGTTCTTGATCATTTGCTACTCCTGAAAATGCTGAAAGTCTACCAATTCTTTCTGGTACAGTGACTCTGTGTATTCCTTCCACCTTCCTTTGATATTTCCTGCAATATTTAATATTTTGCACACAGAATCCTTCAATATTGCAATCCAAGGCTTGAGTTTTCCTTCAATTCTTTCAGTTTGAGGAATTCTGAGTGAGTCCTTCCCTTTTGGTTTTCTAATTCCAGGTCTTTGCACATTACATTATAATACTTTGTCTCCTCAAGCTGCCCAATGAAATTTTCTGTTTAGCTCATTTATTTCATCATTTCTTCTATCCACTTTAGCTACTCTCCATTCAAGAGCAAGTTTCAGAGTCTCTTCTGACATCCATTTTAGTCTTTTCTTCCTTTCCTTTTTTTTTTTTTTTAATGACCTTTTGCTTCTTCATTTACGATGTTCTTGATGTCATTCCATAACTCATCTGGTCTTTGGTCACTGGTGGTCAATGCATCAAATCTACTCTTCAAATGATCTCTAAATTCAGGTGGGAGATAATCAAGGTTGTATTTTGGCTCTCATGGACTTATTTTAACTTTCTTCAGTTTCAACTTGAACTTGCAAAGGAGCAACTCATGGTCTGTTCTACAGTGAGATCCTGGCCTTGTTTTGATGGATGATATTAGGCTTCTCCATGGCCTTTTTCCACTGATGTAGTCAATTTGATTCCTATGTATTCCATTTGGTGAGGTCCACATGTATAGTTGCCATTTATGTTGTTGAAAGAAGGTACTTGCAATGAATAAATTGTTGGTCTTGCAAATTCTATCATGCAATCTCTGTTGTCATTTCTGCCATATTTTTCAACTACTGATGCTTCTTCATTTCCAACTTTTGCAATCCAATCACCAGTAATTATTAATACATCTTGATTGCATGTTTGGTCAATTTCTTCATCTTTGGCTTTAGTGGTTGGTGCATCAATTTGAATAATAGTTCTATTAACTGGTCTTCCTTGTAGGTGCATGGATATTATCCTATTATTGACAGCACTGTACTTCAGGATAGATCTTGAAACATTCTTTGTGATGATGAATGCCATACCACTCCTCTTCGTCATTCCTGGCATAGTAGAGAGAGCTCTGGTGGCATAGTGCCTAAGGCATTTTGACAGCTAACCAGAAGGCTGCAGTTCAAACCCACCAGTCACTCCTTGGAAGGAAGGCTGGGCAATCTACTTCTGAAGTGCTATCACCTCAGAAACCTAAGGAGGGGTTGCTATGAGTCAAAATCAACTCAACCGCAATGAGTTTGGTGTTTTTGGTTGGCATAGTAGATCGCATAATTGTCTGATTCAAAATGGACAATACCTGTCCATTTTAGCTCACTAATGCCTACGGTATTGACTTTATGTTTACATTTCATTTTTGACAACTTCTAATTTTCGACTCATACTTCACACATTGCACATTCCAATTATTAATGAATATTTGCAGCTGTTTCTTCCCATTTTGAGTC